TACACACTGGACAAGGACTGAAACTGTCAACTGAATGGGGTGAGTGTGCAGTGTCTCATTTCGGTGTTGACAAGGGCAAACAACAAGCTAGCCTGAGAAAAAAAAATCAAAGAACATAAAGAATCACAAGCCCATGTAAAAGCTGCTGACATCCTTACATCTGCTTCACGTGAAACTATTCAACATCAAGTGCAGTCTATGCATACATCTGAATTAGACACCACTATCAGAGTTTTTCGAACGGCATATAAAATTGGCAAACATAGCCGGCCATTCACAGACATGCCAATTGATTTGAATGTACAGAAACTGAATGGGCTGAACGTGGGCAGGGTTTTGCACTCCAATAAAACCTGTGGCGAAATCATCGACCACATAGCTCATGAGCTGAAGAAAAAAATGGCAAAAGACATTACAGAAAACCAAAGAAAACTCTGTGTTTTGGTCGATGAATCTACCACTATTAGTGGTAAAACTGTGCTTGTTGTGTGTCTACGCTCAGCATTAGCTGATTCTGAGCCCGAAACGTTTTTTTGGGAGCTGATCGAGTTGGATGGAACAACGGCTGATGACATCACAAAGGCGTTAATGGAGTGTCTTGGAAGAGATTTTAACGAGGACTTTTTAGGTCAGTGTTTCGTTTCTTTTGCATGTGATGGGGCTTCAGTCATGCTAGGGAAGAGAACAGGCGTTGCTACCCAGTTGTGTAGTAAATTCCCAAGCCTGTTTGTGTGGCACTGCTCCAATCATCGTCTAGAGCTGGCAGTTGGGGATGTGGTCAAGGAGGTCTCAGGGCTCAATCATTTCCAGATCTTTTTTGACAAACTCTATTCCTTGTTCCATGCCTCCCCCAAAAATCAGAGGCAGTTAGCGCAGTGTGCGCAAGCAGTCGGACAGCGTCTCCTGGTGATAGGGCGTGTTTTGTCCATCCGCTGGGTGGCTTCAAGTGAAAGGAGCGTCAGAGCAGTCTGGGAAAACTACAGAGTGCTTCATGATCACTTCACAAATGCTGCAAACGACACGAGCAGGGATTCCAGAGACAGAGCAAAGTACAAGGGCCTGGATGATGTGCTCACATCTGCAACGTTTGTCAGCAATCTGGGACTGATGTACGATGCGCTCACAGAGCTCAGCGACCTCTCTCGGCAACTCCAAAAAAGAGAGATGACACTGCCTACAGCAGATAGGCTCTTAACTCGAGAAATACGAGTTTTTGAATCCATGGTCACCATGCCTGGCCCACACATACAGTTCATACAGCTCTAGCTGAGAAGTCCTTCAAGGGTGTTGCCCTGCGTGAGAATGGCAGGCTTGTACAGATTCATGCAGGTCAGTTTTTCCGCAGTATGGTAGAGAATCTGAGACACAGAATGACTTCCACAACCTCCTCTCATGTCAGCACAAGATAAATCCCATTACATGGCCGGGAGGCCCGGGACAATCAGCTAATCCAGGACATGAAAGTTATCCATCCTGGAAGTTGGCCTGAAGAGGAGTTAGACGTACAGTATGGGGACGTAGAGGTGCTACGTTTGTGCGAAGTGCTGAAAGTGGACAGAAGAGAGACTGTTCAGGGCTTTCGCGAATACAAGGAAACCAGGGCATCCCGTACACCTGCTGCCTTGGAGCCTCTACTGAAAGCAGTCCGAACCATCGCTGTCTCCACTAGTGAGTGTGAGCGGGCATTCAGCTGCATGAACGATATCCTTACTGCAAAAAGGAATGCTCTCTCTGTCAGCCGACTGTCCAGCCTGGTTTTCATTAAATGTAATGGACCATCACTAGGACAGTTCAATCCGGAACAGTATGTGAGGTCCTGGCTGGCAAAGGGAAGGAGAAGTGCTGATGAAAGAGCCTGTCCAGCTCCAGCCCCTGATACTGATGTCCCCAAGGCCTTCTGGAGCCTTTTCTAACAATGTGAAGTATATTGCAAAGCAGCTCACCCAGTGAGAAGACTTTTGGCATAATGTGCCGATTTGTACAGATCCTGGAGATAGAAGGACTTCAGACCAACCAGGGAGTTATCTGATCAGCTTGGTGTTCAATGTAACTCTTTACCATGGCTCAGACTTTGTTACTTGCAGTTACAGTTTCTCATTTTAGATTGTGCACATTTTGCATTTGTTTTTACATGTTCTTTGTTCATGCTCTTTATCATTTTTCTGAGTTGGAAAGTTAGATTGCATCATAGTTTACTTTATACATATTTGTATTCTTCAGTGGTGAAGTATATTGCAAAGCAGCTCAGCCATGTGAGAAGACTTTTGGCACTTTTTCGTTTTTCGTTTTCTGAGTTGGAAAGTTAGATTGCATTCAAAATGTACAGAAATACTTAATTTTGTTAAAGCTTTTTATAAAAAAGGCTTCTGACCAGAGCTTTGTTTCCTTGTCATTAATGTTGAACACCACCAGAGGGGCTCTCATCTGAAAGGTCTCTGCTTCATGTGTCTTCAGCAGAAGATCTAGACTTTGATTGTTATATTTTCAGTTAATATTGACCTTACTGAGCTTTAGCCATATCCGCTGCCTATCATAAAAAATGTTAAGTACAGTGAACCTTTCTAAAATATACAGTAGTAAAGAGACAAACCCACCAGCATTATAGTAGCCAAATTCTTGTTTGTGGGCTGTATATATAAAATTGACTTGAAAAAGTTGCTGATTTTAGAGTACTGGCACCTTTTTCATTCCAATTCAAGCACTGGTTAATATTGTAAATTAGACGTTTTTTAATCCGCACCATCTACTGGTTAAAGCACGTTATTACATGTTTAGAGTCATTGTAATGTAGATTGTGTTGCTTTTTAATGACTGTTTTTAAATGCCTTTTTCTTAATGTCTTTTTGTAAAGCACTTTGAATTGCCTTGTGTTGAAAGGTGCTATATAAATGAACTTGCCTTGCCTAAGGTCGGCAGCATGTTTTGTTGAATGTGTTATATTTGATGAAAACAATTAAATATTAAGAGTACATACAAAATAGGGGGAAGGTCAATGATAGTGTGCAACTCGATTTTGACAGGATAACAACTGGTGACTTCTAGAATTGTGTGAGTAACATTCTGTTGGTAAGGACTCTTTCAAATTTAGCAATAATAGTCTGAAGAAAAGGACTGATAACAGAGATTTGCTCTAATATGTATTCAGTATGATAGGCTCTGTCTTAACCCCAAATAATAAAACACAAAAGTCTTCATTCTGTCAGATGCAAAAGTCTTCATTCTGTCAGATGCAATGCAAATCACCGTTTGTCACATGTAAAAACTCTGCAAATCACCGTTTGTCACATGTAAAAACTCTGCAAATCACCGTTTGTCACATGTAAAAACTCGCGAATGCGCAATGCATATTTTGTCACATGTAAAAACTTGCGAATGGTTCAGAATGTCTAGATGTCAATTTTGTCCTACTTGGGATGCCGTCCGGCGTTGTCCAATATGGCGGACCATCTCGCACATGCGCACAGCAGATCGGGCAGAGCTGCAGATCGGGTAGTGACAGCCATTATATCCTCGTGTCTTTTATTTTTGAAATATGTTCTTTAACTTCCGGTCCAGCGGACTGCTTTTCTTCATTCCTCAAAACAAAACGGAAAATCGAATGAAGTTGTTATCAAAATCAGACCGTTTTTTTTAATTAGGTCTTCTTGTTATCCGTTTTTGATTCAGACAACATAAACAGGAAAACGGCTTTGGTTTTACGTTTTTTCGTTTTTGATTTAAAACGAAAAAAGGCTGTTTTTTCCATTATTCTCATGTTTTGTTTAAAACGAAAAATCAAACTAACAAAACGTACACTTACTTTTTTTACTTAGGTTTTCTCGTTATCGGTCTTTTTATTCAGACAACAACAACGGAAAAACGGCTTTGGTTTCCCGTTTTTTCGTTTTAAATCAAAAACGAAAAAAGGGAAAAAGGCTGGTATTTCCGTTTTTTGGCTTTTGTTTAAAACGAAAAAACAAACTGACAAAAAGTTCACGGACCCGCATGGTGTGTGTGTGTGTGTGTGTGTGTGTGTGTGTGTGTGTGTGTGTGTGTGTGTGTGTGTGTGTGTGTGTGTGCGTGTGTGTGTGTGTGTGTGTGTGTCTGTCCGACACCGGCATTTGTTTTCAAATGACCATGAACAGTAATTTACACACATCTGGCTAACTCCATAGGTAGCATATGCGGGTGTTCCCAAAATAAATTAGTTTAATCTTAATCTCGATGTAGTGCTAAATGCTGTCGGACGTGCACCGGAACGACACTATCATAATATCTTCTGAAAACAAATGCCAGTGTCACACACACACACACACACACACACACACACACACACACACACACACACACACACACACACACACACACACACACACACACACACCTTCTTCATAATGCGCCTTCACCTCGTTTTCCCATCACTAGATTATCCGTAAATCATACAAACAAAACCAAAACGTTGATTTATCTGTTTTCCCGTTTTGGTTTAAAAACTGAATAACGTCGGTTTTTTGGTTTTCCGTTTTTCCGAAAAACCAAAAAACGACACCGGTTCTTTTTTAAACGTTGTTAATATGTTTTGGATGCATATTGTTATATTATTTGTTCAGGCTGTTACATACAATTGCTACCTGCTGGTGAGTAAATATTAAAATCAGTTAAAATTGACAACCGGTTTTTTTTAATGTATCTGCCGGTCCTTGGCACAATAAAGGTTGGGAACCCCTGATATAGGTGACATATTCAAATCAAATCAAGTTTTATTTATAAAGCACATTTAAAAGCGATTTTTGGTCGAGCCAACACATGTACATGTAATAAAAACACATTACTACAATCACAATAAAAGACAATAAATTACAACAGATATATAAAAAACACAGGGAATAGTCAGGAGGAGTCATGCTCCGCTCTGACTAGAAGGCCAGGGAGAAGAAGTGTGTCTTAAGTGTAGATTTTTTTTTTAAAAACAGTGTCTCGGCCGACCTCACATGGAGGGGCAGAGTGTTCCAGAGCCTGGATATTGATATTGATGTTACATGGGTGTATTCTGGGTCTGATAATAGTGTCATATGGGTATAATTAAAGTGTTACATGGTTATAATATAGGTGAAATACGGTTGTAATAATAGTGCAACATGGGTGTAATACGAGTATAATACCAATATAATTGGGGTGTATTCATGTGTAATATGGGTGTAATGTAGAAAATACCAATACATTTTCCAAAATATGTATGTGAATGCCCATTTAAGGGTTAACTTGACTAAATGCCATAGTTCATATGAATTAATCGCTTTGTCAACTTCAATTACATGCTTGATGACACAGCTGTAAAGTTAACCCAATTTAAGGATTAACCCTCAGGTCTTGAGCTGTCTTTTAACGGAATTAGGAGTTAGATCAGGTGCTGGTTCAGGTAATATTGGTGAGAGATATACAGAGGATTTGTATTGTTAATCAGGTGTTTGAGGTTAGCTAACACTTGTGTCGCTATCTGTCAGGTTTATAAAAACACAGATACATGATGTGTTTGACTAATACCGGTCTGACAACATCGTAAGTGGCTCTGTAGACTCAGATAACACAACTGAATTCATCTCAAATTACCGCTGCAAAGCAAGCCTCATGAAGCGTGGGGCGTGTAATATTACAGGCAGTTAGCGTCATTTCATATTGACCTACAGTATGTGTGGCGTGATCTTGGAGCACTAATGAGGAATACCTCAGATTATCTTGGAGGAACTGAAATAAAAGATTTGTATTGAACCAGCAGAGATTGAATCCTTTCGAACACTTGCATTTCCATGGAAACAACCCACATCTGACCTTTGTCAGAAAGCACTTAGAAGCTATCAACACATCTGTCTCTGTGGTGTTTGTTTGTGTGATTCACTCAGAGTGAGTCATCTGCTGAAGGCTACCTATTCAGATACAGCCTGCATATATCAGGAAGCATAATATACAAAAGACATCAATACCCTATTAAAGGGGCCCTATAATGCTCATATTAATAATCTTATCGTTATGTTATACAACTAAAATGATATGACCACTGATAAACAGTAGGGCTGCAAGCAATGATTTTTTCTCATCATAGAATAATATGCCAATTATTTTATATGAACCAAGGAATATTTATAATTATTGTTTATTTTCTGAGAAGCATTCAATATCTTAAAATATAAGACTAAGAAATCTGAGGAGCTGGGATATATTTTCCTTTTTTAAGTTACAGATAATCACACAATCATTCATACCAAGATAGCAGTACTATCTCTGACTCTTAGTGAAAGCGTTAATTGGTTGATGTTACAAATCAATGAGGATAGGAGTTATAAAAGCTTTATGGCAATATCGGATTACTAGATTTTCAACGTGATAAAGAACCTTGATTAGTCAGGAATGTAATGTTATCTGAAATAGCCATAATAATGTACCTTTTAAAAAAAAAGTTGCAGCAATACAAAAATCTGCTGATAAAGAGTTCATTTTTCCATACTTGCATATATATATAATATATATAATAATAATAATATAATCCACGGTAAATTAATTAAATTAATTAATCTTTACATAATAATAAAAGCAGTGGTAACAGACAGTGCTCATCCGCTGTCATAATTATACAAAATTAAAATGTAAAATTACAAAAGCATTAGTGTTAGTATGGTATGATATTCATTTAGACATCTTGAAATATTTATGTAGGGAAGGTGCCCTTATGATACATGACACCTTATACAAAGCTGTGTTCTTTTCTCTGTCTTTTTGACTGTATTTTCACATTTTAGGGTTTAATTTTCTTCCTCTGATTGGAGCCTCTGGAGTGAGAGAGGAGAGCACTACTGGGTGTCTTTGTTTGGCTTTTAGCAGCGGTGGAGCCCGTGTCGAGTTGGAGAGTTTGAAGGTGAAGATGCAGGGGGTAGGGGGAGGCGGGGGACACACGATCCTCTGACCCGGCTGACTCCAGACCACTTGCCCCTCGCTGTGCATCCTTCTCTCTGTTGCCGTTTCCTAGCTGTGATGCACTGCTGCTCTGCCTGTGGCACAAAGGAGAAATAAGGCCACACCACAAACGCAGCGAGGTGATTAATAATTTATAGTAATGTAGGGATAATGCTCACTGTGTTCAAAGGAAAAACATTTAAACTAATATAACTTACAATGACCTCTTCTGCATTTGTGTAAGGGGATGATGTTGCTTTTCTAATGATGGGCCTGATGGAGAGAGGACACGTGTCTGCTGAGGTGAGGCTTCCTGTTCAGGAAAAGGCACAGTTTTAATGTAATTTTCTAAATCCAAAAAACAGCTGAATTTTCGTTTTTTTATTCAAGTTTGTTCATGTGTTACCCAAATCAATTCACATGTTTTCATCAGTCTTACCCCGGTGGCGTTATGTTGTGCTCTTTCTCTCAGTTTCACCAGGCTGGTGTACAGGGTCAGGTTCTCCTGCTCCAGAAGGTTTATACGAATATTATTTGCCTGCAATTGTTGCTCCATATCCAAAAGCACATTTCCTGTACCTGGAAAATATGAAGTGAACAAGTTTATACTTTATAACATGATTAATCAACTCACCAAAAAAAATAAGCAAATGGAAACAATGACTGGATACAAGAATATTATGCATGCTAATGAAACAGAAGCTATAGGTGCGCTTCAGGAGTGTACATATCCCTGAGCTCGTTTTATACATACAATAAGTATGAGGTAAGGCCAATAGGTGGATGATTTGTGCAAGACGTTCATAATTATGGAGAAGTAATGCAAATAATTGCCTACTCTGTGGTTGGGCTGTAGGGTTGAGCTCTGGGAAAGCGACTAACAGCCTCTCTCTTTCCCTTAAAGCTTGCATGTATTCCTTCAGCTCAGCCACACTGTTCTTCAGCTCGCCTGCGTGTGTCTCCTGCGTCTGCTTCTCCCTTCTGAGCTCCGAACACAGGTCCTGTTGGAAAGAACATCCCAGCGTGAGGCAATATGTAATGCTTGATAATGCTGCACTATAGGATATTGAATGTACCTGCTGCTGAGTGAGCTGACCCTGCATTTGTTCCTTCTCCTCGGACATCTGTAGCAGCTGATTGTGAAGGACGATCTGTCTCTCCTCCCTCTCTCCCACCTGCCCCTGCAGCTCTTCACACTCTTCATCGAGAGCGTTCACTCTCTCCAGCAAAGACTTCTGCTTTGCCTGCATTGACTAGACGCAACAACACAAAACTATCCTTTATAAATCTATACAAACCATGTAATGCTCTCCAGCCTAAATAACAAATCATATTGTGATAGTGATGATGACACTGACCTCTTGCTGGCGACAGGCACTTTGGTACTTGGCGTTCTCCTTGTCAAGGCGGAGTTGAGTTTTACAGATTTGACTCTCTAACTCCTGGATCCTTTGCTGGAGTTTACCACAGGCCTCTTGCTCTATATGCAAAGCCCTCACTTTCTCCTGCAGGCCATTATTTTCAAACTCTACCTCATGAGAAAACGATCCATCATACAGCATTTCAGGTTATTTAATATTTGTCAGACAAGTGCAATTGATACCATATGCAACATGTTAATATTATATCCTTACCAAGTGTCTGTAATGCATCTTGCCGCAGAGCTTCTTTCTCTTTCAGTCTGGAATGACTTTCCTCCATGCGCAAGGTTTCTGGTACAAAAATATTAAATATAAAGTCCTAAATGTGATATTTTGAAAACCTTTATGTTTATTATTGACTAATCCACACCTCTCTTGAGTTGTCGTTGCTCCTCTTGTAGCCTTTGCTCTGTTTCTTTGACACATCTCTGTGCTTTACTCAGTGAAAACTCCAGCTGGACTATGTTGGCTTGGTGTTTTTCCATCTCTTGCTTGAAAGTTTTCTGTTTTCTTTCCAGCTGAGACTTAAATGTATCCCGCTCTGCCTCTGCTGCCGCTAGTCTTTCTTTCAGAGGCTGCACAGTACTCCGCACTTCTTGAAGATGTTTCATCAGCCGCCGCATGTCTCTGAGCTGCTCATTGGCCCACTGGGCAACATCGCCTGCTGTCATATGTCCCAGCTCCAGAGTGTCCTCCACAGCGACTAAGAGCGGCTGCAGAGAGGAGGGCAGGCTCTCACTCTGAAGCAGTTCCACAAAAGCATGTCCTGTTTTGATTAAAGTGGATTGCACTTGGTGGCATGCATTGCAGGGAACAAGGGATGATTCAACAGTCTGGGAGCTCACATGGTGGCTGTCAACCTTATGATAGCATGGGGTGTTGTGGGTAGAACTTGAGGGTGCATGACTCTGTGGCAAACACTTAAAGGAGCTTGATGAAGACCAGGGAGATAAGTAATCTCTGCTTTGGCTCATTTGGGGGGAGACCAATGACACTGTCTCTGTCCCATCACAGTCAAGTGTCTTTACTTTTCTCTGCTTCTTTGTGTCTTTGTAACTCTCCTAATAGAAGGAAAAAAACATAATACATAATGAGATTTCTAAGTTGATATTTTTGCCATACTTTTTCTTGTTGTATCTTTACAAATAAAACAATTTGCATACCTTAAGATTGACAAATTGAACTAAATTACTCCAATAGTTTCTGACAACAAGGCCAACTGACAGGCAGCCTTTCTGCTGGGTTTGGTCTCTCCTGTGGCTGCACCTTATTTTCTCAACATATGCATTAAGGCTTTGTAGAAAAAGCAGTAGCCTGGTGCAGAGAGATGAGAGAAAAAAGACACTTTCTTTTTTAGTCCTTAAGAAATATTTGTAAATGTGATATAATAACTTGAGTGTATGATCCTGAGGTGGAAAAAGTACTTCGAACTTGTACTTGAGTAAAAGTATAACTACTAAAGGGTAGGAATACAAGTAAAGGTCCTGCAATCAAAATGTTCTCCAAGTACAAGTACAAAAGTATTAGCATCAAACTGTATTTAAAGTACAGATAGAAGAAGTACTACTGTTTTCAGATTTGCCCATTGGTTGTAATTAATGATGCATTAAAGTGTTTTCAAAGCTGGTAAAGGTGCTGCTAGTTTTAATCACTTTGCATGCTGCAGTGTAGTTTGGGAATTTTAATTGAGGTATATTTCACATTATTAATCTGAATCTGCAAAGTAACGAAAGGTATTAAATAAAGATAAAAGTACAAGAAAAAAGTACAAGATTTACCTCTGATTTGTAGTGGGGTAGAAGTAAAAAGTAGCATAATATTGAAATACTCTAGTAAAGTACAAGTAGGTAACACTGGTATTACCTGTCAACCAACAGCTCCAGTAACACAATGTGCGAGTGCTGATTGTACGCATCCTCCCCATCCACAAAATCGTATTTCTCCAGCAGAGCTACCATGTCTAGGTTACATGAGAGTTTATCGGGGAATTTCCAGGAAGTGAAGCGAACCGGTCCGGTTCTGGAAAAAACGTCCAATAGAGCACCTTGGAGGTCGACGACGTCTTTCCTCAGGCTTTCAATAGAGTCCTGACGACCCAGAAACTGACTCATGTCTGAAAGGCTAGCTTATATGTTTTGTGTGTGTCTGAAAGCGGCTTGTTGGCATCACATATCCATAGCAACCTGCAAAAGAAGTACTACTAGTTCCATAATGCTTTGCGGCCGGTGTCCGGAAGTAATACGTCTCCATTGAGTCAACGAAAGCGCGACGCGGTAAGTGCTGAAATATAGCAAATGTATAGCTGTAGCTTTTATAGCGTGTGTTTGCAGTATAATATCTGGTATAATAAAGGTATTTCCTAGTAAATAAACTATTTTCGTTGGTTGGGTTTCTGCAGGCTACTTACATTTCCCCAAAAGGACATCGCCATGCCGCCTGGGCCTGTACAGATCGTTCAGCCGGAGCCCAACAACAAGGTGAATACACCGCTGCTAGTTGGCTAATGTTAGCATTTAGCTGACGTACTTTTTTCTGTAAGGGAAACTGAATACAATTTCCTTCACTGACAAACCACTATCATACATTTGAATTTCAGGGCAGGTAGAGTCTATTTTGGATAATCCCCACAAGGATTCACTCGGTTTAGCTTGTTGTTAGCTTCCAGGCTCCATTCACAAAAAAGATCCTTCGAAATGTCTGCAAAACTTTTTTATCTTTCAATACAACGGAGGAGCAGCATACTTAAGTTTGTTTAGTAATTATATTGACATTTGTCCTTTAAAAATCTGCTACTTTACTCTCAAGGAACACCGATGTGTTTAACGTTACCTAAGATAATTTACCGGTTTCACTGTAAGCCGTTATCATAACTTTTTACAATTAGTCGACAGCGAAATCTATGAATTATCATCGCATACTCAGATATTATTTCCTAGAAAGGTTTAGAAAAAGAATGTGTGCTACAAGGTCCATTCTCCTATCTCTATTTTGAGTTTGTAGTGGTAGCATTATTATCATGTAGCTCAAAACACCTCTAAATAAAACTAAACCCATATGCATGGCGTTTTATCAAGTTGTATGGGGGTTATTATTGCTATTTGGAAAACAGACATTTATAATCAATTGAATCTTGTGTCAGAATTCCTTTATTCGTCCCACAAAGGGGACATTTCCATTGGTAGTTAGTCAGGTTTAATTAATGTAGATGTGATTTGTATTTTTACATTTGTTGCACTTTTCAGCCTAACATGTACCTTTTGCCAACAGAATGATTTACCAGTAGAAGAAACCCCTGCTACGAAACCCATTGTTGGGATCATTTATCCACCTCCTGAGGTCCGAAACATAGTTGACAAGACAGCCAGCTTTGTGGCCAGGTTGGTAATGGAATTTTTTGTACAGCTGCAAATATTACCTGGATACAAGGTCCTATGATTCACAAATTCTTTGTCATTTCACAGAAATGGGCCAGAGTTCGAAGCAAGAATCCGTCAGAATGAGATCAACAATCCAAAGTTTAATTTCCTCAACCCTAACGACCCCTACCATGCCTACTATCGCCACAAGGTCAATGAATTCAAGGAGGGTAAAGGGCAGGAACCGTCTGCAGCCGTGCCTAAAGTTATGCAGCAGGCCATGCTGCAGGCTCAGCTGCCACAAAAAGTAAGACATTTCAGTCTGCTCTTATTTTTATTTTCTAATGATTGGTAGTATTTTCATCTTGACAATTAATACTTTCCATTTCTCAAAAGGCGGTGATTCAAGAGACAGTTGTCCCCAAAGAACCACCCCCTGAGTATGAGTTCATCGCAGATCCCCCCTCAATCTCAGCGTTTGATCTGGATGTTGTCAAGCTCACTGCCCAGTTTGTCGCTCGCAACGGCCGCCAGTTTCTTACCCAGCTCATGCAGAAAGAACAGAGGAACTACCAGTTTGACTTTCTGCGACCACAGCACAGCCTTTTCAACTACTTCACCAAACTGGTTGAACAGTACACTAAGGTAAACCAACAACTTTCTCCTCTAAGTTGTTCTTAATTTTTGTTTTGGTGGTGATGCTAATCTGTATCTCAATCTTTTCCCGCATCGTGTAGATTCTGATCCCTCCCAAAGGACTTCTGACCAAGCTGAAGAGAGAGTCTGAGAATCCAAGAGAGGTTATGGATCAGGTAATGCCCTTAAACTGTGGATGTTTTTCAGATGAAGAATTTAATCGAATGTCGCCCATGTTAATCCGCTGTCTTTTTTTACAACCGTCAGGTGAGATACCGTGTTGAATGGGCAAAGTTCCAGGAGCGCGAGAGAAAGAAGGAGGAGGAGGAAAGAGAGAAAGAGCGGGTGGCATATGCCCAAATTGACTGGCATGACTTTGTAGTGGTTGAGACGGTGGATTTCCAGCCCAACGAACAAGGTAATATAACGACAATTATTATAATCTTTAAACCTGTGAGCCTCATAATGTAGCTAGAATAATTTATCATTAATTGGCATCTCTTTTTTTTTCAGGCCACTTCCCCCCGCCCACCACACCAGAGGAGCTTGGCGCTCGCATCCTGATCCAAGAGCGCTACGAGAAGTATGGAGAGAGCGAGGAGGTGGAGATGGAGGTTGAGAGTGAGGATGAAGATGATGAAAGGGAGAGTCGGGCCCCGGGTCAGCCCTCACAACCTGATCAAGACACACAGCTGCAGGATATGGATGAGGTAAGAACTGATTAAGTTATTTATCACTGCGCCTTGTATACTATTTATCTTTTTCTAATTGCAGCTGCTCATGGATTTGTCATTCAACTTATTTAAGTACATTTGTTATTTTCCTCCAAATCCTTTCAGCCCCTCAAATGTAGACATTTCTTGATTTTTTTTTTTTTCTTCTTCTCAAAAAAGTTACTTGCAGCCAAGGCTGGTTCTTTGCCCCCTTTTTGTTTTACCAATCACCCTTTATTGACAACCTATGTTTTCTTACCTCTGCTTGAAAAGAGAACATAATAACAATAAGTGCTGGTAACAATGTTTCATTCTCCCATTCCTGCTCTCTCCAGGGATCTGATGATGACGATGATAAAGCTCCACTGCCACCAGATAACCCTATGCCACCGCCTCTGCCCCCAACTCCAGACCAGGTTATCATCAGGAAAGACTACGATCCCAAAGGTAACGGATGCTTCCTTAGATGAGGGAACACTAAGTGCAAGCTCTTTTCTCTGTTCAGAGTGTTTATCTCATGCTATATTTTCCTTACAGCTTCCAAGCCTCCGCCCTCCATTGTTACTCCAGATGAGTACCTCATCTCACCAATTACTGGTGAGAAGATCCAAGCCAGTAAAATGCAAGAGCACATGCGCATTGGTCTGCTTGATCCGCGCTGGCTGGAGCAAAGAGACCGCAGCATCAGAGAAAGGCAGACTGAAGACGAAGTCTATGCCCCTGGTTTGGATATCGAGAGCAGCTTGAAACAACTGGCTGAGAGGCGTACAGATATCTTTGGTGTGGAAGAGACGGCCATCGGTAAGAAGATTGGTGAAGAAGAGATCCAGAAGCCTGAAGAGAAGGTGAGTTAAGTTGTGGGTTTATACTACAGTGTAAGGTCAAAATAATTCCTGAGTTGAATAAAATGTAATCAAAATGTTTTTGATCTTTTCATGTTACAAGGTTACTTGGGATGGCCACTCTGGAAGCATGGCTCGTACCCAGCAGGCAGCTCAGGCCAACATCACCCTGCAGGAGCAGATTGAAGCCATTCACAAGGCCAAAGGGCTCGTGGGAGAGGATGACTCTAAGGAGAAAATTGGCCCAAGTAAGCCCAGTGATATTCATCATCATCATCATCAGCCTCCAATGCCCCCAATGAATATGCCGAGACCCCCAATGTCAATGGCTCGCCCACCCCACTCGGTGAGTAACTTAAAACAACTGTTAATTGTTAATGAAAATAAATGATTAAACTAAAAATAACCCACTAATTTGTTGTTTCCAAACAGATGCCAGTGCGCACCACTCTCCTGTCTGCTGTTCCTGTAATGCAGAGACCTATGGCTCCTGTGGTCCGCCTTGCATCTGGACAAGTCATCTCCTCAATGCCTCCCATGATTCCTGCTCCCCGCCTCAATGTGGTCCCCATGCCTCCATCATCTCACATGATGGTCCCGAGACCACCCCACATGGTGGTTCCAACCGGTAAGATGAAGACACGTAAATATATAACTAACAACCTAAATAAATATGCCTTGTTTAGGTAATTAGATGAACCTTTCTCACATAGGACACTGGATTTTATCAATTGAATACAAATACACTTTTTCTTCCAGCATTCGTCCCGGCCCCTCCAGTACCACAACCCCCGAGCTCTGGTTCTGCACAGTCATCCCACCCACTCCCGCCTCATGATGATGAACCAGCCAACAAGAAGATGAAGACAGAGGACAACCTTATGCCAGAGGAGGAGTTCCTTCGTAGAAATAAGGTTTGTGAGAGCACTGACATGTTGTTGATCTATTTGTATTCATCGATCTGCAGGAAGACACAGTTTGAAATACAGGATTCGAACTGTTATTAGATTTAAATGTATTGGCAGGTCTTCAAATATACAAACCAACAATCAGATCAAAGTTCTGAGTTCTTCTGGGTTTTTTTTATGGGTAATGTTTCGGAATGCAAAGTATAGTTTTCCCATGTATATTTTCAATTGTGATGACTGAGAAAGGCACAGTATTCCATTTCATAACTTGATTTATTTTGTATTCCTCTCTAGGGTCCTGTTGCAGTTAAAGTACAGGTCCCCAACATGCAGGACAAGACCGAATGGAAGCTAAATGGCCAAGTGCTGAATTTCACTGTCCCGCTCACAGATCAGGTATGCAAATCTTGTCTTATTGTTATTCTCTTTTTTTAAATTGAGTGTAAAGCATTGCACTGTACTGCATTTTTATGCATCTCAAATGTCTCCGCAGGTGTCTGTTATTAAAGTCAAAATCCACGAAGCTACAGGCATGGCAGCAGGGAAACAGAAGTTACAGTATGAGGTAAGCTTAACCGTAAACCTTCATTTTTACCTTTTTAACCAGCTGATAATATTCTTTGTACTAATATTTGGTATTGTTTTGTTCCTTTTTCAGGGCATGTTCATTAAGGATTCCAATTCCCTGGCTTATTACAACATGAACAACGGTTCAGTGATTCACTTGGCACTGAAGGAGAGAGGTGGAAGAAAGAAGTAAGCCATGCTGCAAGAAGGAAACCATTTTTCTTCTGGATGTTTTGTCCCTTGATCGTGCGATGTCATTTTAGTTTATAAAAAATGTTCACAATTATAAAGTGCTTTTCTTACAGTTTTGTGCGAAAAGTATGATGTTTTTATTATTTTATGTCATCTTGGAATGCTAACTGAATTATGCTGTACACTGGCTGGCAGGCCTTGCTTCATACTATTGGTTCAACTCTTGATTTTTTTCCTGATATATGCTATTTTAGTAACTTCAAATTGTAACATGTTGGAGCCCCATAATACTAAATAAATGAATTAAAAAAACGAAAGGTATTATCGCTTCATGATTATGTGTAATGTTAACAACTGGCACATATCAAGGCCTCTTGCTTAGTACAAGAATGATCAGTTGGTCTTTATTTAGGTGATTGGAAATTAGCTGCCCACTGCTCCTAATACTTCATCAGATCCCTGGAGAGAGCAGGAGGGGAAAGAAGGATACATTGATACAAACTGTTATTTTATTCTCTTTTCAAGCTAAAGTAAACCTCAGTTGTCAATTAAGGTTGATGGTAAAAAAAAAAGGGGCAAGGAAGCATGGGTCGAATGCCAAATCAGGTTATGTGTGTGTTGATTAAAAAAAATATTTAAACAGTGGAATTTCACTTCAGGTATCCATAACGGTTAATCTTAGACACAATCTGTACAACTGGACAATGTATGTGGCGTGTAAATGGGTTTGTATATAAGGGCTTTTAAATGGGCATATGTGCTGCAATCGTGAGTCAATTGTGCTTATGTGTTAGGTTACATTTATGCGCATGTACTTTTGCGTATTTGCTGTTTGCTTTTAATGCCATCAATCTGCCAGGACTGCATATGAAAATGAGCCTCTAAATCTGGCACATTTACATAATGGACCCAAGTACTCATGTTGATTAATGTGCATCGTGATTGTCCCTTCATAAATTAAATTAAAAAATAAGATTTTCTTCCCAAGGCAACCACTAGAGGTAGCCGTGGCTTCAAGAATGTAAAAGTAACTAACCCAGGACAAGGTTGAGGCACACATCTGCCCAACACACTCGGAAGGACAGGAGAGCTAAACCATACACCTTTGTGTCAGAAACATGATAAACTCGTCTGTTTACCAGCTCACAAAGTTGGCGAATGACTAACTATGAAACACAAGCCGACGACACAGCGTTAGTTTATTTTAAGGTAGCGTAGGAATAGTTTTGGATTGTTTTGGCATCGAGCCCCAGGAAGTGTGCCGGACATTGAAGCACAATTTGTTAGTGTCCAAACGGTAGTACTACAACTTCCGTGTCCATACGTGACGTCTACCTAGCACGAGCACTTTCATATAACATATTTAAATCAGGGTATAAAAGTTGTAAAATGCGCTAAAAGCTTATTTTCCTCGGCATTAATTTGACTGAACCGAGAGCGGGAGATCGGAGGCGGAGCTTAATAGAAATGCAAGTGCGCGTGCTCTATGGGCCAACATACGGGTACTTGTGCTCTCGAGAGGCAGGGCATGTTGGCTTCATGCGCCACTGAGCAACTCTCATAGGAATGAACGGGTCCTGCCTCCAACGCTGTATCCAGTTCTCTTTATACATCCATGGTTGGCACTTAGCACTAGCAGTTACGGCTAACTTTAGGTTAGCAACATCAGCTAGCTTATTTTAAATCTGAACACGCATTCACGTTTACATAGGTAGCTATTACCTGTGTTATGTTTCCTGGCAGTTAAAGTTAGATAACATTTACAGAGAGTTGGGAAGTTTAATTAACTCCCTTCAAAAAAAAAAAAAATCATGGCGTCGCTGCGGTTCAGTTCATTTGCAGAGGAGCAGTTCTGACTTTGGGCTGTCAACAAGCGAGCTGACCCTAGCTAACCAGCTAGCTGTCCTGCTAACATGGCCCACATAGAAAACGGCCGGCAATCCTTCGACACAATGAGTATCCGCACTATTAGCAGCAGTCGTATGGACGATGAAAGCTCTCTGGGATCGGATTCAGAGATCAATGGATTCACCAGCGACAGACAGACCGACAAATATGGATTCATTGGTGGGGCACAGCAGACAGACGGCTCGTAAGTTTGTCTCTACAGTGATTCATTGCCACTCACTGTCTGTGTTGTCTTAACAGTGTAATTCAGCTAACTAAAATATGGTCAGTAGTTGTTTCTGATCCTTTTGAGACAAAATTGAGTATAACGTGTTAATGTAGTTATGGTTTCATACCACAAGTTGTGTTGTTGTCTTGGTCTCTATTTACAAAGCTCTCCACCAGATGCGTGGCACAATGTGTTTGTTAGGTTTGCCTCACCCAATATTCCAAATATAAAAGCCAGAATATTGGTTGATAACATGCTCAGAGGTGGGAGATCTCAGAGTACTCAGATCTTGTACTTAAGTAAAAGTAGAAGTATCAGAGTGTAGTAATACTCTGGTACAAGTAAAAGTCCTGCAATCAAATGTTCATACTAGGAGTAGTAGTACCAAAGTACTCGTTATGCTGGCCCATTTCAGAATAATATATATTTGTTTTCATTATGATTATTGATGTATTAAAGTGTTATCAAAAGCTGGTAAAGGAAGTTCCTTAAAATTGTTCCCATGTATGGTAATTGGAAATATACTTAGTTACTTTCCACCACTGGACATGCAGCATGATTGTTCTTCATTAAGTCATGTAAACTATTTCCCCATAGGTATATTGGGTTTTTTGTCTGTGGGAGAACAGGTCTTGTTTGTTGTTAACATCTGAATAAATGTACTCATAGCTTTTGTGTTGTTTTCTAAGAAGGCCTTTCTTCCTTCCCTTTTTACTGGGGGCTTTGAGCCCTCATTATAACACTGAAATAGTGGAAGGAGTGAGTGAAAGTTGTGCCAAGCACTGGCTGGCTGGGAGCTTCCTGTTTCTGGAGTTTTGGCAGACTTGGAGCCAAAGCTCTGGTGCCCTTCTACTAGAGGGCCTCTTTTGGCTCCAATCTTTATAGGTGGTCACAAACCAATGGTTTTACTTACACTGTTTGGCAGTGATTGAAAGAATATCATCAGTGCTGAAAGCTTTTAAGAAGCTGAAGCTGGAATATAACACATTGTTTAAATGATATCCAACATATAGCTTGCACCTTTTTTTTAACTAAAGAGGGCTGTCCCAAGTTTTAAAAAGAGGTCTTAGAAGACGTTTGAACCCTATGATTACAGGCTTGTGTTGATGAGAAAATGACATACCTTAGTCAAGCATCAGACCTCATTCATAATGTAGGTTGGACTACAATTTATTTTTCTGCTTGGGAGTATGATATCCACTCCCTATTTTTTCTTTCCCTTTTTTAAAAGAAGTCAATTTACATCATAATACAGTCAAATCCTCCCTGCAGCTCATTGAGGTTAAACAGACTTTGCTATTAAATCTGCTACATCCAGGCTGAAGACTTTTCTTTTTGTCGTTGCTTTTAATTGAACTATTCATATCTTAGACTGCACTGTAACTTTTATCCATGTACTTTTTTCTTTTAATGTTTAATTGACTGCCATGTATTTTTTTCTTTTAATGTTTATTTTATTAGCTTTTCTTTTTAATGACTGATTTTAAATGCCATTTTCTTAATGTCTTTCATTTTTTGTAAAGCGCTTTGAATTGCCTTGTGTTGAAAAGTGCTATATAAATAAACTTGCCTTGCCTTGCCTTACATCTGAGTTTATGTCTTTTATAGTCTCCCCAAAACCAGGTTGGTGGTAGTTGTTATTTTGGTCTCATTGCACAGTTTACTGTCTGCATAGGAGCGAATGGCCACCCACGCAGATCTGTTGGCACACACAGAAAGACGAGCAGCCCTTCTGAGGATGTTTTTTTATTGTTGTCACACCCACCTAACATACTGCCACAAAAACATACTTTATATTTGTATCCAATGAATAGCTTTTTTTCAGACATACTTATTTAAAAATATCCACCCTGTTTAGGATGTTCATTCAAATTTGTTTCAATGTTGATTTCATTAAGTTTATCTTTCTCCATTGTGTCCACAGAGCGCAAGATTTGCCTCCACAGGTGCTCCGGCAAAGGGAGGTGAAGTGGCTTGACATGCTCAGCCACTGGGACAAGTGGATGATCAAGAGATTCAATAAGGTCAGCCGCCATTACTAACTCAATAACACTAAAGTGGCTTGTTTGTATGTTTTGAACGATGCTAGCCAGGTATATTGGCCTGATCTGAAAGTGTTATTTGTTTCTAAATGTTTTGTTTCCCACCATGGTCTCCAGGCAGCACTTATTCAGTCCCGAGTAGTTTGTATACATGATCAGACATGGCAAACAACATTGCTCAAGTATTTGATTGCACCAAGACTTTATTATTTGCAGCTTCACTTGTCTGGCTAGTTCTGTGTAACGACACTCTCAGCAATTCAGCACAGAGCTGCAACTTCACCTCTTTTCCATGAGTCAGCAATAGGGCAGGACACAACCAATCCCTATATTGCCTCGTGCACCATGTGACAAAGTGACACTCTGAGACTCAGGGTGGGGCTGTTGTGACTTCCCTTGAGGCACAGAACCATGTAATAAAGGTGTTGTGAGTTTAAAGTATAGCTGTACTTAAATGCACGACAGATTGTCAGAATCAAATGCAACCATGAGAATAATATACAGTTTGTTGGAGCAGCAAGACCCTGTCAAATACCTGGGATTCTTTACTCTGCTCCTTTGGTTCACAATAATATAACAGCAGACTCTCCTTGGAGGAGCATGCCAGTTTCAGAACAGAAAAACAAACGCTCAAAATAATCCAGAACCTCTAATGCAACAAACCAATATCACTATCAGTACAGTATGTTTTAATAGTCGCTTGTGACTCTGTAAGCAAGATTATAGCATGAGGTATCAGTGCATGACATTAAGGATTTTGAGAGATGGCCCTGTGGGCCGTCTAATGGCGCGTTTCCACTGCAGCGGGGTAGCCCCGTTTAAGCGTCCCTAAGCGTCCTCGCTCTGGCCTCGGGCTGCCTCGCTGGCCGGCCCAGGCCATGGCGCATTTCCATTACAGTTTAGGACCTGGGCTAGCAACGCAGTGTAGGTGGGGCGATCAGCGATGTGGACGGAACACTACTATCGCCCGTTGTTCGGGAATGTTCCTCCTCACTAGTCCCAATGTAATCATCTAGAACAGCAAAATGACTTGTTAATTCCACAAACTACTGCAGCACAATACTAAATAGCAACAGCAACTATAGAAAAGAAAAACTGAAAGTAAACAATGGCACATATGTGTTAGCAAACAATAGCTCTAGCTAAGGCTATCTGCCTTTAGCTAGCTATGTAGCTCTTCGGGGCTCCATAAAAGCATTAGCTAGCTATGTAGCTCTTCGAGGCTCGATAAAAGCATGGGTTGTCGAACATTAATGTAAGGATAAAATAGACTTCTTTGTTAGAAGTGAGCGTACCTTGCAGGGACTCCAGTAAAGCCGTTGCAGAGTCCAGGCCTCCCTCCCTCCCAACGTTGGCCGGTCTATGGCCGTAGATCTGGTCCAACAAATCGAACCACTTCCATTGTTTGCGACCCGCACCACTCGTGTTGTTATTGTCCTTTACTTGGCGATATTCGCTCTTCATCTTTTTCAGTTTTTCCCTACACTGCAGGAAAGTCCTCGAAAATCCGCGTTCGGACATCTGTGCAGAGACATCCTGGAACACTTTTACATTTATTGTTGTTCCGTCGAGCTCCCGCTGGATTTTATCATCCCCAATGAGATGAAGGAATGTCGTCACCTCCTCGGTCGACCACGGTGTGCTTTTCTTAGAAGTAGCCATTTTTGTAGCTCCTCCGTTTACAAAATGCTGTGTATAAAAATGCTGCAAGCTTGCTTCTAGATATATATGCGACGCTAGGGATGAACTCGCGCAATCTTGTGACGATTCTCTCTGACCAATCAGCAGTCGAGAGTGTTGACGTCACTAGTTCAGCCCTGACCCTGGTCTGAGGGAACCACGATTTTATGAGGTCGGAAAAAGAGGGAAAAAGTACCCGCTGGCCGGTACTAGGCTATATGGAAACGCCACCAAAAACCGGCCTGGCCGCTTGAGGACGGTTAAGGACGCTTAAACGGGGCTACCCGCTGCAGTGGAAACGCGCCATAAGCTAATTTACAGATGGCCCTGAGCCCAATGGAGATTGCCCTGAAAAATGCGCACAGACGTAATGACGCACGAAGGGTTTGGGGGGCCTCCCCCTAGAAAATGTAGATGTTTGCAGGTCTTAGATGCTGTCTGGTGCATTCTCTAGACTGAATTATAAGATGAACCACCACAATATTATACTGTTCAATTTCAAGTTTATTCTTCATTTCACTTGTTTGTTTGTTCTTGTTTGTGTTTGCTCGCTTGCATGCCCTGGATAGCTATAAGAAATACTTTGTTGTTGGTCAAGACACTTTCCATCTGATGAAGGCAAATGCCTTCCCAGATGTAAAAAAGTAGAAAACATTACATTCAGTTATAACTGCCAAAACAAACATTATTTACACTATTATGGCCCCTGTTAAAAATGTTTGTAATGTTATCTACTGTAAGTTGGTCGAATGAATGCCTCCTCATCCGGAAGCTGACCGAGCAGCAGTCGAGAGGAGCCGAGCGCATCCGCGAAGCACACAAAATGGCGACGTCAGAGTTCCCGTTAGCCGGCAAATCTAAATCTCTTCGGTCAAAATGTCCGTTCAAAATAATTTCCCTTTAGCGCAATACCGCTTCAGTTGCGCCACTTATGTGAGAGACAAGAAAGTATGTGACAGACAAGAATAGTCAATTATAATGTCTAACACTTAATGTGGAGAAAGAGATGTCCTGTATGGGTTGATTGTGCGTTGATCTGTTGGTAATGCCTCGGGGTTCCGGTGGGCATGTAAACAAATGCATAATGCTGCGCTATACTTTGTGGCCTCACCCAGTTGCATAGCGACACTTATTGTTTAGGTGTCTTTTAATAAGCGGGTAGTCATATCATTAGCTAGAACTAGCTGGATCTGATCGATATGGACATAAACGCGAGTGAAGTCTAATCTGATGGGAGAGAGAGATCAGCTGCTGCTGACGAGTCGACATGCAGCTCTGCATGATCACATGCAGCGGTGAGCCGACAAAACACACACTTCAGATTAGAATATCACACGTAGCTATTTTAATTACCTCTCAAACTACCTAAAATAGATATTTTTAGTTTTACTCTCGGGTCACTCATTACTGGATCCGCGAGCTGCATGATACTGGCATAATAGATTGCCCGATCGGGCAACCAGCAGGTGAGGCTTCATTGCCCGAGCTAAATACTAGATGGCCCCGGGCCATCGGGCAGTCCTTAATGTCGAGCCCTGGGTATTCCAAGGTGATATGTACGTGTTTACCACTGTATACACAGTTACTACACACAGTTTGGCTCCTCTAGGCCAATGTCTATTCAGATTCAATGCCAAGCAAAGAACCGAGGAAGTATTTTCGTAGACTTAAAGGGGACCTATCATACAAAATGCACTTTTGTACGTCTTTTATACATGAATATGTGTCCCCGGTGTGTCAGGGAACTCACCAAGTGTCAGAAAACACAACCCTCTCTCTTTTCCTCCCTACTCAAATCTCTAAAAACGGGGCTGCAACGGATCTGATACAGACAAATATCTCTGACATCAGAAACAAGGAGCTCCGCCTATATGGGCAACTCTACACCTATCAGGGGAATGGGGGGTTGCCGTGGCATGGTAACAGCATGGTAACATGACGCTCGTGCCTCGCCCCCCTCCTTTGCAGGTGGGCGTGGTCAGCTGCAGCTCATTTGCCACAGAATCAGCCCCCTGCAAAAACAGGGCTGGAAAAGAGCAAATAGAGCGAAATGAGGCATGGCTGAAATGCATGATCTGTTTGGTATTTTGAAAAAAAAACTTCACAGACATGTTTTATATAGGTATGGCCCTACAATATATGTTTCAAATATAGCATGATAGGTCCACTTTAAAGTAATGTGAATGAATGAGTCAGTGTCAGGGTATCTTTGACCAAAACTGTAGGCAAAAGCCAGATAGGAGTCAGATGCTGAAGGATATGTTTCTTGTAATGTATTTTCAACTGACAGTAGTGAAAGTTTCAAAGACAAAAATTCCTCCACTACAACTGTGAAGTCACGTAGACACACCGTGCTTGTTTTATTATATACAACTCTCTCTTTGTTGCTCATGCAGCTGATCTGGAACCTGTAGGAGGTTTGTTCCAGCGACTCCGGTTGCATATAGCATGCACACATCCACATGCCATGTTTTAGATAATGACCCCTGCATCGAAGCATTGCACTCCTAACTATTATAGAGATAAAATAAAGTCTTGCACTGCTTTTACCGGTAGGCCCTGCCGTTTTAAAATCCATATTGCGGACTAGAAGCGTATGTTGTATAACTGGTGAGAGATGTAGCAGGTATTTGATCAAATACTGGCCACATACATGTCACATACATTTCGAGTTAGCCTGGGTCAACATTTTTAAGAGGCGTTTTTCACAGCTGAGAGTGAGCTATTACTCAAGAGGTTTGAACAGATAGCTGTATTGCACATGTGTTGAAGAGAAGGAACCAATACCAAGTGAGAGGTACCGAGCTGTTACCACTGACTGGTATTACCGTACCAGCCTGTTTTGACTTGAGGAAAGCCATTGTGTGACTAGCTTTGCCCTGCTTAACTGAGTGATCTTCCTCTCTTCCTCAGGTAAGACTGCGGTGCCAGAAAGGAATTCCTCCTGCCCTCAGAGGTCGTGCATGGCTCTACCTGTCGGGGGGGAAGGTGAAGAAGGAGCAGAACCACGGAAAGTTTCAGGTCAGAGAGATCTCTCTTTCACTTCCTCCTTGCAGCTTCTTTTATGTTTATTTTGCATTTCATGAGAAATGTTAGTGAAACTGGCAAAAGGCCATTTCAGATTATTTCAATAAACCCAAAATAGTGATTTTAAACGGCTAATTACACAAAAAGTATTTGTTTTGGGAATGTTATGGTCATTTATGTTTTTATTTATATTATAATTTTTACATTCATAAGTCTCATAAATATCTTACATTATCAGTAATATCCAAGTCAACTTTTCCAGGCAAGCATACCCAAAAAAGGAGAAAGAATCAAATTTAAGAAAGAAATACAGTTTTAAATACAGCACTTAAAACACTTTACAAATGCATCCATATAACGACAGCATACAGTTCTGTCCATGATCATACTTAGCCTTTCATTTGCTCACAGCCTCTTAATTCAGTGAGCCCATAAATAACAGAAATAAATTATCCGAGACAGACTTTATCTTCCCCTTTTTGTATTGTTCATTCCAGCTGTCAAGTATTCAAAGAAATCAGTTTAGGTGTTGAGTGAATTGTAGAGAGTATACACTTCCTGGATTGTTTATGTGTAAACGCACTCTGCCCTGAATGTTGTTAGTGTTTAGTTAAGAGATCTCACTGCCGCCTTCATGTGTTTGGTTTTCAGGAGTTGGATAGCCAGCCTGGAGACCCTAAATGGGTAGATGTGATTGAGAAAGACCTCCATCGACAGTTTCCTTTCCATGAGATGTTTGTGTCTCGTGGAGGACACGGGTACGCTCTCAGACATTACACACTGGGATTCATGACAACGTTCTTTTTTTGACAAAGATATGACTTTTTAACTGTTGTGTGTAATGTTTTTGACGCTCCACAGGCAGCAGGACCTGTTCCGTGTTCTTAAGGCCTACACTCTGTACCGACCAGAGGAGGGATACTGCCAGGCTCAGGCTCCCATCGCTGCTGTTCTGCTTATGCACATGCCTGCCGAGGTACGTGCCTCAGCCACAAAGCCCATATAAACTGCCGTGTGCTATGTGAGTGCAACAACGCCATATGTTGGTAGGCTTTGTAGAACTGTTTTCTGTACCAGTTCTAAAAGGCTTGTTAATATTTTGGCTCTTTAAAAGTAAGATCTACTCATAAAATAGAAATCACACAAGCTCTTTCTCACACATTTCAAAGCTCTGACCTTGGACAAGTGTATTTTTAATCCAAACAGCCTAGAGACAGACTCCACAGATGATGTCATCGGGAGATTAATCCTGGAGCGGCTCCAGAGGCTGAATAATAGTTGAAGCATTACAGACTGCAACCATGGTGACGCTTTTCGGGTGTAGGTGTTTGTTTCCAAATTCACAGCGGTAAAACTTGAACTCAATCGGAATGATAAAAACTCATTCTGTTAGTCATTCCCGGCTAAGTTCATTTGGTTTGCAAACGTCCTATAATTTGTGTCAATCATTACTTGGATATGTGACTTTTTGAAGTAACAACAGAAAACCAACAGAGCTCTAAGAGGCAAGTTATTAAATAAATAAATAAACTATTTAATATATCAAGGGGAATATTCCCTTACATCCCGTTAATTATTCAAACAAACAGCATTGTTAAAGACAATCAGCAGTCACATGTTAAAATTAGCATATGATGAACATTAAGAGTATTTAGATGTGTCTACGTTTCTTTGCGTCCTAACATGACCCACCTTAGTGGAAGTGTTTGTAGTGGTGATTTAGTTAGAGTGACTTAACTCAAAGTGTTACGGCCCGTCCACACAGCGGCATTCGTTGAAAGCTTCACCATTCACTTTGAATGGGGTGACGTCACTTTTCGCCGAACTGCATTGTGGGAAGCGACGCGGAGCTTTGCTGGCGTGGCTCGCTGCAAAAGTTGAGCAATGTTCAACTTTTGAAGCCTCTGCAGAAGCGTCAGCCAATCGAATCATATGCCAGTACAAGCTCTAGCCAATCAAACCGCTGCTTGTGTGTCAGGGGCGGGAGATTCATGTGATTGGTTGTTGGTCGAGTTTCAGACACGCCCGCCGGCAAGCTTCATCGCACGCCGCTGTGTGGACGGGCCGTTAACATCACTTCTTTCTTACCCATAGAAAGCTTTTATCATCAAGGTCAGAATTTCAAGGATGAACCTGCCTCTCCTGTGAACACGTGGAAATATCCTGTAAAATGATCCGGTCCACAGTGTTTTTCTGACATCATGTGTTTGTGTTTCCACAGGATGCCTTCTGGGGACTGGTCCAAATTTGTGAGAAGTACCTTCCTGGCTACTACAGTCCAGGCCTGGTGAGACGGAGACATATACAAGCATGCATGATCACATCAGCAAGCGTTGGAAATACACATAGAGAGAGAGAGAACATTACTTGATCTGATGTTGCTGTAACACAGCCACAATCCATATTAACTAACCAGGCTTTGGCTGCAATTACAGTCAAACTGGAATGCATTGTTGTTGTTGTTGTTGTTGTTGTTGCTGCGGAGCTCTCAGTGTGAGTGTAATAAGTCACTGATGAAACCAATGAGGCGTTGTCAATCTTGCCAGACCATAATTCATCATTGCATTACATACTTAATCTTGAGTTATTCATATTGCCTGGTGGTTACTGTTCATTGTTTTCAGATGAGGTAATCAATTGTTAATGAGAACATGTCTTGCTAATGAAATGTTTCCCTGGAAAAAAGGCAACATGATGCATTTAGACTAGTTTATTTTTAATGGATGAACATGCATATCAGGTTTCAGTCATGTCAATACAAAGGACAATGGCCTTTGTTTCCCCCTAATGCCTTCCTACCTGTGTCTCTTTCAGGAAGCGATACAGTTGGATGGAGAGATCCTGTTTGCTCTGCTGCGACGTGTCTCCCCGCTAGCTTACCGCCATCTGGAGAAACACAAGATCGACCCCATCCTCTACATGACTGAGTGGTTCATGTGTGCCTTCTCCAGGACGCTGCCCTGGGCCTCGGTGCTGCGTGTCTGGGACATGTTCCTCTGTGACGGTAACCCTGGCTTATTAGCACTGCAGTGCCAGATGTTGTTACAACTTGTTCACACTGCTGCTCAACCACCTGGCTCTTCTCCTTCTCACAGGAGTGAAGATAATCTTTCGTGTGGGTTTGGTGCTGCTGAAGTGCATGCTGGGAACCCGGGAGAAGCTGAAAGCCTACCAGGGACAGTATGAGACCATGGAGCTCCTCAGGGCCATAGAGCCTCGATACATGCAGGAAGGCTTCCTGGTCCGAGAGGTAACAGCAGCAGAGCAGCAACATGGTGTAGTGAACACCTGAAATTCCCTACAGCAATCAAAAAAGGGTTACTATGTTATCTTATGGCGCATTTCCACTACAGCGCGGTTTAAGCGTGCCGTGCCCGGACAGTTTTTGGTTGCGTTTCCACTAGGTGTAGTTCCGGCTAGTGGGTACCTTTTCACAGTTTTCTGGCTCTCCAAAATCGAGGTTCTTTCCGGGCCAACAACCGGGCTGAGTATGCTAAACTAGTGAGAGAATCGCTGGCAACTACAACAAAATGAACATATTTGACCGTGATTTAATTGTAATACACGTTTCAAAATGATGCCGAAGTAACAACATACTGATACCGGTTAGTAAAAACCATGAATTAATGCTTTGACAAGTCTGCAGACAGACGGCAGGCGAAAAACCTTTTTAAAATGCGTGTTTTCTAAGCTAACATTATATTATGCTCCGACCGTCCACACTCACAACAACGGCCTATACAGACATAAATAAACCAGCGACTGTATTCGCCATGACACAGGCAGTCTGTGGTTTGTACTTGTTTAACTTTTGTCTAGTTTCTGAACAGATATGAGGAGCTGTGAGCTCTGAGGGCTAACAGCTAACGGCTGATGTTGTTTTTGTGTTTCGCATTGAAGATGATGTCACGGCTCCGCCTACACTGACTGCGTTACTATAGTTACTGCCCCAGTTCCTAAACTGTAATAGAAACGCAGCATAAAGTGAGCCTGGCCTATCAAGGCCTAACTATACCGTACTAAGCCGTGCGAGGCCCTGCAGTGGAAATGCGCCATTAGTGAAAAGTAGTCCTGGGTATGGGTCAGGGTGGGATTTTCACGACGGCCATGGCCGTCGTAGCCCCTCGGTCTGGCCGTTATGCACCACAAATAATTGTACGTCCTACGGCCACCATGGCCTTTGGGCCCCTCGCACTGTAAAAAGCGCACTGTTAAAAGCGTCAGAACAGTGGTTTCTGAACTGCATTATGCTGCGTTCACAACGGACGCGATGCGAATACTAGCATTGCTCCAACCGCTGGAGTTTCACCGCGGCTGTCAGCTGTGTTTACTCCTGTCATTCAAACAGGACTCGCTGGAGAGGGGGCGGGGCTTATTTCCATGTAAATACTGTCGTGGAAACCAACTACGACTAAATTAACCTATTTTACAGTGATTTAATTGTAAGACACGTTTCAAAATGATGCTGAAGTAACAACATACTGATACCGGTTAGTAAAAACCATGAATTAATGCTTTGACAAGTCTGCAGACAGACGGCAGGCGAAAAACCTTTTAAAATGCGTGTTTTCTGAATGGATCAATCAGGCTAAACTAACCTGTATATAGCTGCTCCGTCCACACTCACAACAACGTCCTAAAGACAGAATTAAAGCAGCGATTGTATTCAGTTTCTGAACAGAGCTGTGAGGAGTTGATTAAAGAGACTCGTACACACACACACACATACACACACACACACTTCACTGTGCACTGCTAAATGATGTATGTGCAGAGTTTGACCCTTGAAGGCTGTTTCTTCTGCTCTGAAATGGAATATATTTGTTACATATTAATAGAATTTTAGATTTTTTTATTTGATTTTGGATTTGTGAATGGGAGAAGTAGTAGATGGAAAACATACCAAACACTAATTATTCAAAGTAGAGTATTTTATTTTATATACGGTAATACTAAGAAGGCATAGGCCTATATGATGATACGATTATTGATATTAAAAAAGTGATTTGTTTTTTGTCATTAGAAAGTGAAGTTATTTATTTGTAAGCTCCAAATCCAAATGTTTCCCCAATGGCCTTTGTGCCCTGAAAAAACGTGTGACACCAAAGGTCAAATGGCCTTGCCCCTAAAATGACGAAATTCCAAGCCTGCTATGGGTACTATCTAAATAACCCAGTACAGAGTTATTAGGACACAGAAGATAGATAGATAGATAGATAGATAGATAGATAGATAGATGGATAGATAGATAGATAGATAGATGGATAGATAGATAGATAGATAGATAGATAGATAGAAGTACTTTATTGATCCCAATTTGGGAAATGTTTGCGTTGCAGCAGCATAAAAAACAAGGCAATTTACATAAGAGAAATTAAGACACTAGAAATAAACAGTCCAAAAATATTTCTGAAATAGAAATAAAAAAGCATTTAAAAAAATAAAAAAATAAAAAGGAGTTTAACTTAATTTCCCGCTCAGGCCACCTTTACTCCACTTCACTCCACTTCATCTGTGCATAGCAAATGGTTCTTTGCTTCTATATTAATGCTCTGCATGCAGAAATAAAAGGTCTTTGTTTCTGACCAGAAGTCCTCTGGCATAGTCCTTTAAAGATGTAGTGTTGTGTTGTGTCGCTCATGAACAGTGGGTGCTTAGAAATGCAGCTGAGAAAAAGGCAGAGAGTCTCAGTGGGAATTAAAGTGATACAGAGACAAATTGACCAGAGTCAGTGTCTGCTTCTTGTGCCTGGCTTTGTGTGGGTCTCTGTCCAGGCTAACAATACCGCCTCTTATATGAAGGGTTGTCTTGACTGTGTATCCCCATGAAGCCCTGAGGCCCTTTGACATTTAATGATGAGTTCACATTTTTAACACAATGGCCAAATGTGGAAGGAAGACACTATTTTCCAGCGAATGCTAGTCTCCCACACTATTCCTTTGAAAATGAACTATATGTTGACTCCAGCTGTGACCTAATGCCGTGTATCTTCCTGTTGCAGATTCTAGAGGTGCCAGTGACAGCGCGGGATGTGGAAAGGGAGAATTACACCCAGCTGAAGCGCTGGAAGAAGAACCGCGGAGAGCTGAATTTTAAATCCCCCCCCAGGTTGCACGGTGCCCGGATCATCATGTTGGCCGAGCCTCCGAGGCGCCAGGACCTGCAGCAGAACCCCACCATCGTACTGGATGTGCCTGAGCCCGCCCCGCAGCTGAAGAAGGGAAAGGAGGAAAAGAAAAGCATGAAGAAGAGGAGAAGCATAAAGAAGTCCCTGCCCATCCTGAATATCCCGAATCCTTACTCTCTTCCCAGTGACCCTCCTCCTCCACCAGCCTCAGATCCACCCGCTCCACCTCCAGTCATCATCGAGACGCCAGAGACAGTGCCACAGACTGTGCCACAGACTGTGCCACAGACTGTGCCACAGACTGTGCTGGAAACTGTGCCGGAGACTGTGCCACAGACTGTGCCGGAAACTGTGCCGGAGACTGTGCCGGAGACTGTGCCGGAAACTGTGCCGGAAACTGTGCCAGAAACTGTGCCGGAGACTGTGCCGGAAACTGTGCCGGAGACTGTTCCGGAGACTGTGCCAGAAACTGTTCCACAGACGGTGCCAGAGACTGAAACTGACCCCCTTCAGCATCAGGAAGCGCCTCCTACAGATGTTCCCCCTGCCAAAGAAACTCCACTTCAGCGATCCACACAAAGCCTTAGCAGCACAGATCAGGACACATACCTGTAGATCCACAGAAGTGTGTGTTTGTGTGTGTGGAAGCACCAGCACGCTTCAGCCAACAACCAGCCAGCCTTGCCAAGGTTTATTATTCTAATGTTGGACTGTTAGTTATCATTTATTCATTTTAGACACCATTTTGCCTATGATATTATTGATATACACTAAAGCGGCATTGCTAGGTGTAAAACTACTTTATTGCTTACGCTGTACATGAAGCTGATGTTACCTGTAGGGCTGCAACTAACATTTTTTTTTTGTAATCAATTAATGTGCAGATTATTTCAAGATTAAAGGATTCATTGTTTGGAGTCCAAAATGTCAGAAATGTTGTAGTTTCTCAAAATCCAGAAGAAATGACTTGCTTTTTCGGTCCAAAACCCAGAGACATCCAGTTTAATTTTCAATTTAGAAAAGAGAAAGGAAATATCCATGTTTGAGAGGCTGCAAAACTACATTTTCTGACATTTTTACATCAAAAACATCTAGACGATTAATCGATTTGCAATTAAATGGGAAATGATTTTTCTGTCGATCAGCTAATCGACTTGTCTAATAAGTGTTGCAGCTCTAGTCCCTTCCTGTTCCCCGATTCATGATGCTCTTATTCAGTACATAAGTCTTAGTTTTCTGTTTGTAAGGGAGACATGTTACAGTTTTTGGGAGCAAAATCATTTCTTCAGAGAGAAATGAAACTTAAAGAACTATGTGTCACAGCGTATGCAGTTTTTCGTACATTTCCATTCAAATTCAACACTATAGAGTTCATGTGAGTGGAAGAACTCCATGCTTTTCATACGGGGATTCGTCCACTAGAGAGCAGCCTGGCAGAGGTTTCAGCTGTTACATTTCCTCTCAGTAAAGTACATCACAGCAGGAGGATGGGATTTATTTTTGGGAGGTATTATTCTAAGATTGAGCTTCATTCTGTTCTTTTTCAGTTTAGCATGTGCTTGTGCATTTCATGTTTTTGGATTGAAATTCATCTTCCTGAATCTATGGGTCACACCACACTGTGCAAAGTGTTTTCTTACAAGCGCTATTTATTTTACAATCTAAACGTGAAGTGTGTTGTTTGTGCATGCCTTGCTATTGTCACTTTTTTAAGAGTTAGTTGGATTGATGTGGTTTAACTCCTAATATTCCCTGTGCCAGGCACTTCCAGCCACTTTAAAGGAGCAGCAATTACTTTACTTTGGCAGCAGAGAGATCACAGGACATTCCTCGCTGTATGACACATTCCTTCTGCATTGTTAAAAGCTTATGAGTCCGAAAGCTGTCTCTTGCCAAATGCAAATGTCCATAATGTATGATTGTGTGCATGTGTTTCCTGTGACATCTTGGGACAGTGAGTGAGTGAAAATCACCTAATGGTGCTGACCCTTTCTCTTGGTCTGCTCAGAAAACCGATTGGAGCAGATTTAGCTAATCTTGTAGTGTGGTTGATCTTTTTTTGATATTATTGCTAGAATTTCCAAAGCAGATCAAGACTGTTGTTTTGAAATGACTCACGACTGCTACCTGTGACCAGGCATATTCTGTTACATGCAAAATAAGTGATTTCTAAATTTCTTTGGGATATTTGTAGCATCTCATTTTGGAGAACTGGGCCTATTTCTTTGGGAAATATATTGTTACATGCAGGGGTTGTTTTTCAAAACATATTGAACAATCTTTTTTGTGAGGGTCTAACTTTCGTCACAAGGGTAAAGGGAGTTTTGACAAGCATGAGCACACGTGTATGATGTGTTTGCATCTATGATTAATATAAAAAAGTGTCTGCCTAAATGTGTTATGTCAGTTCTAAAAAGCAATGATGTTTTAATTGATAACAGTTTTTCAAACAGCCCTGTATGCAATGTTTTTTTTGTAGTTGCTTATATTACACAACTCACATTTCGCTGATGTTTTATTTTTTATTTAATCCTGTTGTGTAGATAAGACATGTAAAATAACAATTGTTTTGTAAGGAAATCTATTTTTCAATGTGTAATGCTATATTTTATTGAGCAGTTCCAGAAACTACAGAGGAGACATCATCAAATAATTTGAAGTTCAAGACAATATATATATATTTTTAAACATTTGTAACGGTAGAAGAAAAACAATACTTTCAAGTTAACTTTTAGAGCATGTCAGATGTTTTTGTTGCTCTAAATTAAGATTGGTATTGTTTTACAATTATTGTGCTACATTTGGATTATAAAAGTGCGATTAGACAACCCTAAAGTTTGCATCATCACAAGTTTTAATCTTACAAATAAATGTTTGTTTAAAGCCAAAGTAAAGTCTTTTTGTGAACAGTTATTTGATAACCATAAGTTGGATACATGTCTTGTTTTCACCACCAGATGGAGCTCCAGAGTCATCACTTTGAAATGCTTTGAACTGTGACATCCCGCGGCATCTTAACGAAAGGCCAGAGGTAAACATATTTCACCAAGTTAAACATTTATCAACTGTTACATCAGTTACATTTTACAAACACACCGAGGTAGAACATATAAGCAATGGCTTTTAAAAGCAATGCAAGCTGTATATCTATAGGTAAGATTGTTGACAATAAGGAAAATACTAGAAATATATACCAATTACCATACTTAACTTGTGTCCATTGTTAATGTTAACTGTCATCTCTAACTGCACAGCAACATAGGTTAAAACTATATTTTTAGATATACAAAGAATAACTAAATTGTTATATGAATTATATTATATGAATCCCCTATTAGCACACACATGTTGACACATTTAACACCAATGTGATTTTGATAGTATTTCGCGTGTGTAGGCATAGGGGGAGTAATGGTCTTTAAAAGGGTTAGGTTTATGTCTGGAATGCACGACTCTTCACCACTTATTTTTGGATGTTAGATGTGAAGGTGCAGCTATAGTTAGCTTAGCATAATGACAGGAAATGCCAGTCTACTTAAAACCACCTTGGTTGTATTTTGCATTTAAATACAAATGCAATATGTGTTGGAACATTTCTATGCCGTACTTGGCAAGGTTCAGAGGTGCTGGTAGGTGCATTGTGTTTCCTTTTGACAAAGTCAAGCTAGCTGTCTCCCTTGTTTCCAGTGGTTTTGTTTAGCATAGCTAACAGGCTAAAAGGAAGAGAGGTGGTATCAATCTCTTCTAACTCACCGCAAAATAAACAACTCTGGATATTTCACAAGACTTTCCCTGTGGTGTGATGGAATATTTTAGGGCTTCATAAAGACAAGTGTAGATAAATCTCACAATCACTTATGACTCAAGTCAGCAGTGATGCATTTTCTTATCTTCCACTGTGAAAGGGTTTAAAGAAAATCTTATCAAATGGGAGTCCATGGTCTGGGGCATAGCTGTCTTGTTATCCTACAAATGAAAAAAACGATAGTGACGCCACTGTAGGAGTGTATCCATTCATGACACAAATATTTGACCTTTCTCCTCTTAGGCTCGCAGCTTCAACAACTCCCCACCCATCTTAAAGAGGTCATCCCTGGTCTCTCTCCTCGTTTAGACTAATAATAGGTTGCTATTATTTTCTTAATTCACTGTTTGAACTGCCAAATGCCTCTTTTCTCCACCTTAAGGTGTGGGATATTTTAAGGTTTTGCCTTAGGCTTGAAAGAGTTCATTTTAAATTGCTACCTTGATGACCTCAATAAGCCCGCTAACTCGTTTCTAATCGTCCAGCAAGGCGTGAGCTGCAGCTGCCGACCTCTGGTCATGGCGGGGCTCGGAGTAGTGATTACAAGAGAAGGCAGCAAATTGAACGTGATCCAGGAATCAGTCTTAAAAATACTTATTTTCTATATATAACCAGTGAAACGACAGGTAGCCTAGGTTTGATGTGTGTAGATATATCAAATGAAAGAGAATACCTGTCAATAACTATTAATCATACTTACACATTTTGTCATTCCACCTATAGGCCATTAGGAACCATTAAGGGATCTGTTGATGTTTGCCCACATGAGGCACAGCAACAGTTAATGGTCTAGGTCCCAGAGGAATGCATGCACCGTCACGCTTTCCCACTTTGCATCGGACACCTGGCCCTCTTTCAGTGCCACCGTGCCATTTACATCTCAAAGGGGGACGACCAAGAAGGCTCTCTCTGTGCTCCCTTCCTCACTCCAGAAATGATCTGATTTATCTCTTCATCAACGGAAATATATGCCTTTAGAGGGCCATCCCGCCTCTCTCATCCCCAAGCTAACCGAGATAGGAGAGGGAGCACTAAAAAGAGAGACTTGTGATCCTCCGTGTGATCCCAGACCTAACGGACCCCTGTCACAGTGCTTGATTCATGTGATGCGGGTGACTTTCTCCCTGCTCCCAGGCTCAATGTGTTAAGGCACAGGGGGGGTGGATGGCATAACGCAAAGCAAAGGCGCCTGTGTTCCTGAGGTATCCGATTCCCACGTTTGATGGAGCATGACAGGTTGGCTCAGGTCAAATTAAAAAGGCCGAAGTAACAAATATGAGGACAGACATTGTGATCTTCTGTGCAGGTGAACTTTCCATGGTAGTGGTGGTAAAAAGTTATTTATTGCAGCGAGGAAAAACATTAGTCTTTGTAGCACTCAGAGGGGGGAATCCGTGTGCCTGAGCCAAGGTGGATAATTGAAACATCACTGACTGTTTTGTTCTGTCAGTGTGGATCTCTTATGTTCATCTACCAGGGAAAAGCCCTCACTTCTATCATCCTTTTGTAGCATTACGGATTAGTTTTTTCACATCACACCTTAAGAAATAATCATTTATAACCTCCTTTTCTACAGCATTGTAGTAATAGGTGTCATGAATACTTCTCATCTCCAGTCTCATGCCCTGCAGGTTTCTTATTAAAATGAATACATGACTTTCCAGACATAGTTTTGTAAATATTCTCCATCCTCTGGCTCCTTTCAGCTATGTCTGACCACCCTAAAAGAGGACTACTGTTAAAACATTAGCAGGCATTTATAACATTATTGAAGTCTGGAGCAGTGCCCGCAGGCTCAGATATTCCATCAGGGGATATACAAGGCTCTGTGTACCTTGGAAATGTAGTTTTGGCACCTATGCTGTTTCCACTGTATAATCTGCTTCCATTTATGGTCCACTTATGTACATGGTTAATACTTAGCTGTTCAATTTAACAAAGAATAACAACTAAAAATCCTCTTGGGTGCATTTAGAAAAATACTCACAATGTCATCACGGGTCTCATACCAGCTACTCCCAGTGGATACAAGTCCCACTTTAGGGACCATACGATAATTATTCAGGGCTCCCCAGGGTTAAGTTTGGCCCTCCCCTTAATAGTAAATTATTGCAACCCACTCCCTTCTTATTACTCAACCCAAGCCTGATTTTAAGTTGTTCTTGTTGATGAAACAATTCTTTTTACAGAGCCCAAATCAAAAAGCAATCTTAATGATGGCAGCACAAATGTGTACTGTTGCAGTGTACTGTAAACATGCGTTGTAGTATAGAAACACAATATATTTAATTTGAACAGTTTTTTTTATAATAAAGAGATCATGTTCATTCACTGTTTACTACAAGCATTCACATTGACCGTTTAGAAACATATATATTTGTCCAACTAGCAACTAGACATTAAAGGCCTGATTCAGAGACATGACTGCTCATACCGCAATTATTAAATAAAATACAAATCTGAGGGATGGAGAATAAAAAAACGTATATGCCTTAAGATTTTAGGCCATACTTCCTTCAGCAAAAACCCTCCTAATGAATTTTCTTACAGTGCCTTAGCAGAAATTACTAACCATTTACTGGTTTTAGGTGGTCAAATGTAATGAAGTAGGTCTGTCTCTGTTAAGTGAGATTCAAACATGGGGTGAGTGGTAAACATGCAAGTGAGGCATAGTAATTGTGTCTGCTAATCACCTGCCTGCTGTTACGCCTACAGGATATTCTAGCTCCAAACGATGGGTGTGTGGGGTTATGTGGGGGTAAGTGCTGCACACCTGCGTGGCGGTCATACACCTTGAGGAGTTTTAGGCGTTTCATTTAATCTCCCCCCCCTTGCACCCATCCTCCTGACCTCTTAACCTTCTACATCCCCTGGCTCAGTAGAGCCAGAGGCATGCACAATTACGGCTGTGAAGTCTCGTCAAGTAAATGAAGCATATAAGCAGCAGCTACATTTAACTGACACACATGAAGTCTTTTGACTTGACTCAGGCTTCATTCCCTCCTGGTGCTAATTCAATTTGTCACAATCGTTTTTATCATGAGCTATTTTTCCCTAATTCCCTCCATAATGAGGACAATGAAACAACCTGAAGTTCCTGGGCCCCCATTCACAGCTGGCTTCTCATTATCCAATCTTACCTCCCTCCACTGGCTCCTGTCCTTTGCATTTTGGGTGGCACTGATAATCAGTAATTAAGAGCCAGGTAGAGCATTGGCTGTTAAATGGCTCTCTCTAGGTGTTTGTTTACTTGTGTGTGTGCCTGTGGAGGCTCCTGGCTGGTGGGTGATGAGTTACAGACACAGATGGTGGGCATCAGCAGGCCGGCTGGGGGCAGATTAGCAGCCCTCCATGTCTGAGCAGCCCTGCTCCCACTCCCACTGAGCCCCAGAGGACTGCCTGTCTGTAACTCTACTCGCTTTGGCAAGCCTTATGTGTTGATGGAGGCCGACCACGGGCTTATCTCGTCTCATTCCACCATCAGTGGGCCTAGCTGGCTCGGGGCTCCCAGGGAGAAGGGGGCGGGGGTGTCTGCTGGGGATGTCTGTATGAAAACAGCCTTGTTTTGAAAAGGTAATGCTGTTGCCTTTAAAAGTGGCACAGATTTTGTAATTAGAAGTCACTTTAAACCACTAAATGGGGCCTTATCTAAATGCATACTCATTTGCACTTTTATAGCATGGCGTGGTAAACCTTCTTTATTCAGTTACTAGTAAGCCATGGTGACTTTTTATGATTCATAATCAAAGGCTGTGGCCCTCTTTGTGCTCATGTGTGTGGGATGGCGGCTGCCACATCTGCCACCTCCATGGGGATGCGTTGGTAATCCCCGCTTCCGCTGCATAAAAAATGCCTACAGTGCAAATTTTGCCATGATGCCATATGTATGTTACACTGGACAGGAAGCACAGTTCAAACAGTCCAGGTCAAAGGTCATCCAGATGCGATGTAGGGTGTGCAGGAGGGGGGAAACTGGGCAGCCTGTAGGTTAGCGTTCGGGGTCCTGTTTATTTTATAAACAGTGGGAGCAGATTAGTATTGGAGCCAGGCTCCCTCCGCCATATGGGGAGGATGTCCTCTCTGT